CCGGCCAATAGGAGGCAAGGAGGAGCCGCGGCCGCCAATGAGTTGCAGCTCGGGGTAGCCGCGGCCGCCGAGATTCGTGCCCCGCGGGGGAAACCAGATGAGGCACATCTGGACAGCTGCGCCGAGGAGCTGTGCAGCCCCTCCGCGGGCCCGACTTCAGCTGAGCACGTCCCCCACGTCCTCTCCTTCTAGCCACCTATTAATTATTCATTTTCCCAGAGAAGCAACCAAGGATCCAAGTTTAAAACTTTTCCTCCCCCAGCTAATGCGAGACGCGGCCAGATCCCATCCAACACATAGTTTAATTTTCATGGGGCTCTGGGATCAAAAGGACAGAAACAGCAACAACAAAAGCCCAGCCGCTGTCTGATTTAAACTGGCAAAGTGGGGAAAATAAAGTGTTGAGTAAACAGACCGAATTGGGTAAGTTTTGGATACATGCTGGATATCTTGTTTCTCCCGCTGTGATCTCAATGCTGAGTCTTTCTGCTGTTCTCACTAGTCAGTCTTCTCTTCAGGGAAAGAAAAAAATATCGCTTGCTGCCACAAACTGCACGGGCCTTGGCTTCTTTTTCTTCTGCTTTGCTAAGGTTTTAATTTAATTTAACTTTTTGGCCATCTGTATGCTATTTTTAAATTTCCTGGAACAGAAATTTAACTAGTATCCTGTTGTAAACCTCTCCTAACTTCAAAGTTGAATCTACTGATAAATTTATTTTTCTATTTTCTTCCTGTGCAAATAGACTATACATTTGTAAAGCTGAAATCTTTGTACATCTTCCTCTCCCTGACTGTCTTGATAGAAGATTGAGGAAATTATCTGGCTTATTCAGAATTAACAAAACTTTTGCTTCTGTTAATAGGATGTTTAATATTAGATTATTTAAAGCCTCAATTATATAGGTAATTGCTGTTTCACTTACGTTTAAATGTAATTGTAACCCAAATGTATCTTTTCTTTATTCTCCTATCCAGATTCCTTTATGATTGTTAAAAGAACATCTTAAACATGTGATAGACAACTGTGTGTATCAATAGCCTTATGCTATAATTGTATATTAACCCCATAATTCTATCAAAATATTATTCAGAGGAATCATTAGATGTGTATGCTTGCGGATGGTTCTGGTATATATATATTTCAAGATGGAAATGATGGAAAATCTTGAGCTAGGTAAATGGCCTGAAGTCCATTCCATTCCAAACATCTATAATTCTCTCTCTTTAAGCAATGTTTTGGATTTGAGACCTTGCCATATGTTATTTACTATTATGGCAGATCTGGCCAGAATTGATCTTTAATTTCTGGCTTAGAAAACAGTAGGTGGGAATTTGGTGCTATAATTGCAAGTTGCAGAGCATGTTTTTGATTCAAAAAGGCAATGCCTACGATGGGTGGAACAGTTGAAGTGGTTTCCAGGGATGCATGGTTAGAAGAAACAGTGTGTCAGAGAAACAATATAAAGAGCCAGCTGCCCTGATTCAATTCACAACCCCACTCTTTGACCTTGGGCAAGTTAGTCAGCCCATCTGTGCCTCAGTTTCTGCCTCTGTAATGCAGAGATCACAGCACCTACCTCCGGGGGTTGTCTTGAGGACTAATTGAGTTAATGTGTTAAACACAGAATAGTTCTGGCACATAGTTGTGCTCACTCCTCCTTGCCTTCCTTCCCAGCTCCCCCTGCTGCACATCAGTTTCCCCAGCCACCATTCTGACCCCTGCACTAGCAACTAGTAGCGCTGACCCCTTGTTAGTGATGCACTGTAAAAGGCTGTAAAGGAGAGAGAGTCTTGAGAGGGAAGTGAGGTAGAACTTATCAAGTGCCTTAGAAAGATCTAGAAGGTTCTGGGAGGGCAGAGGATGGAAAGATGACTTCTTATTGTAGGATGGCTTCGTGGAAAGGTTGGCATTTCTGGGAAAAATTTTTACCCAATAATTTTAATTGAGAGGAAAGGGCTCATAGAACAACAGCAGGTGGCAGGCATTTTAGGAGGAAGAGAAAGCTTGGGCAAAGCACCGAGGCTGGAAAGTGTGGCTCTATGTGGACACTGAATTGTCATGCAGGCAACCTGTGAGGGGTTAGTGAAGAGAAAGGTTGGAAAGGTGGGAGAGGTGGGAGGATGGCATGGAGAGCCTGATGGGGAAGGAGAGGCTTGGGAGGTAGACTGGTGGGGGATGGCAAGCGGAACTTGCAGCAGTTACATAGTGGAAGTGCTTCTAGAATGATCCGTCTCTGGAGTCTGGTCTCCACCTTTTGCCCAGCATACCCTCCCTTTCTGCTCTATTGCTTCTGTGACCTACCTTCAGGGCCTGCAGGCTCTGGGGCAGGATAGACCAGTGACTTTGGACTCCACCTTTTTGGACTCACTCTGTGGCGGCTGTCTTGGAGCTTTGCTGAAGTGGTCGGGCATTCTGGGCTATTACCCAGGCTGCTTCTCAGAAACAGGCCACACCCTAAAGTCTTTGACATGATTGCACCTCTCCTCTGCCCCTAAACGCACATACAATAGCTGAGAGAATTGTCTATTCACATGCTAATACTTATCACTTTATAATGCACAGTTACTGAAGTGGATGAAGACTTGTAAGATGCACCTAAGTGGAGAGTCCGTTTGGAGATCTCTTGCTTTCTCTTCCTCCCAGGCATTGAGCTATGTCTGAGCGAACCTAAGTGTGGCCCTGGTGCTGTGTGACCTCAGGCATGACACTGAACCATCATGGCCCTCTCTGTGCCATCATCTGTAAAATTATCTCTAGGGTCCCTTCTCCCTTGGATGATCTTTTATTCCTCTCCCCAACCGCCCCTGCGACAGTCTGTTGCTTGCAGGTGGCAATTTGATTCATCTATGGCTGACATTTTCTGACCAGTTAACACATGGCAGACATTGCTCTAAATGCTTTACATGTCCTAGCTTACGTAAGCCTCTCAACAACCCTCCGAGGGTTGGTATTTAATAGCTGAGGAGAAAGAGGCATGGGCAGATTAAGACACTTGCCCAAAGTCACACAGTGAACAAATGGCAGATGCAGACTCAGACAGTGTAACACCAGAGCCCAGGACTTAACCACTGGTCTATACTGGCTTAGGTTTAATACAGCTGGGCTCTCTTCTCCTTTGTGGTGGTGGTAGTCAAGAAGTCCCTGGAAGAAGGATCATTGAAGGGGCAGGGAACATTCGGAGAATCAAGTTGGTAAAATTTCCCTGGAGGGGCCAGAATACCATCAGGAGTCTTGTTCATGGGATGTGCTGCACAGGGAGACAGGAGACGTTTTATCTATTTATTACACAGGCCTCATTGTAGACAAGCACTCCGTCTTTTCATCTTATTTCAACAGAACCACCATAGTCCTGGACTAGATGTCGCTTGGATGATTGTCTTCTTTGAAAAACTGAAACAGTATATAAAAGTCAAAAGTAATGGTTTCCCCTTTATTTACTGCTTTCTTCCCACACTACTACTCTCTTCAGAGGTAACCTTTGTTAATAGTTTGATCAGTATCCTCCCAGTCCTTCTCTAACAGGTCACTCATAGGTATAGAGCTAAATGAAATTTAAAAATATAAATGGGGCCTGGCGTGGTGTGGCTTAGCGGTTGAACATTGACCTAGGATCCGGATGATCAGGGTTTGATTCCTGGTCAGGGCACATGCCCGGGTTGTGGGCTTGATCAATGACTCTCTCATCATTGATGTTTCTATCTCTCTCTCTCCATCTCCTTTCCTGTCTCTAAAATCAATAAAGATATATTTAAATATGTATATATGTATATAAATGGGTCTGCAGTATTTTTATTTTTTAAAAATAGGGAAACTAAGAAATGTTCCAAGGCTTATGGAAAAATGGGGCAATTCCAGGTACACATTCTACCCCTATTTCTTGGGCATTCTGGCTTCTTGTCTGATTTCTGGAGATGCTGTGGTTTTGGGTTAAGAACTTCAAGGGGAAGGTCAGTGTAAGGCAATTTCAGGTGTCCCATTATTAATAATACCTGATCTGGATTTCACATCATTTTGAGAATTCACTATTTAAACTTTTAAGGTATTAATTCAACTTAAAATATCATTAGAAAAATATTGTAATTTGCTTTTTATCTCATTACCTTAATGCAGTGACTCTTTGTAGTATAACACACTGACTAAGCACATAGACTGGAGTCAGACTGAAGGTTTCTTCAGTCCCAGCTCTGCTTCTCACTAGTGTACCTGGAGCAAGTCACTTTTTCTAGGAGGCTTTTTACCTGCAAAATGGGGTTATCAATAGGCATTAAATGAAAAAAATCAATTTAAGTCATTTAGCATAGGGTCTGAATCTTAGTAAAGGTTGTACATGTAAGTACTTCATTTTTTTTATTGTGGCAAAATAGGACAGCATTTGCCATCTTGCCCGTATCTAATTGTATAGTTCAGTGGCATTAAGTGCATTCACATTGCTGTGCAGCCATCACCACTATCCCGGAGTCTTCATAACTTTTTCATCAAACTGACACTCCATACCCATTAAATAATAACTCTTTATTACCCTTGCTGTCAATCTCTGATAACCACCATTCTACTTTCTATCTCTATGAATCTGACTCCTCTAGGTGCCTCATAGAACTGGAGTTATACACTATTTGCTCTTTTATAACTGGCTTATTTCACTTAGCATAAGGTTTTCAAGGTTCATCTATATTGTATCGTGCCAGAATTTTATTAGTCATGTGCTGCTGCTTGATGATGGGGATACATCCTGGGAAATGCATCCTTAGGCAATTTTGTTCTTGTGCAAGCATCATAGAGTGCACTTACACAACCTGGATGGCAGCTCACTGCACACCCAGGCTGTATGGTGTAGCCTATTTCTCCCAGGCCACACGCCTGTACAGCGTGCTGCTGTACTGGATACTGCAGGCAACTGTAACACACAGATAAGTATTTGGGTATCTACACATAGACAAAGTACAGTAAAAAATACGATGCAAAAGATAAAGTGTGTGTGCATATGTGTGAGCGTGGTGTGTGTTCATATAGGTGAGCTCACACATGTGCACACAGATATGGGGGCAGGGCAGGAGTAAGGCTGTGTAGGGAGGCTCCATCGGAGCTCAGGAGGAGGGATGGGGGGATGTGAGAGAGAAGGAACAGAAAGGGTGAGAAAGGGAGAGCAGAGATCAGAAGAGAACCAGAAAGATAAAGCTTGAGACAGGAAATAATAAAAGGGAAAGGGGGAGGAGATGGAGGGAAAGAAGGAGGGAGAGAGGAACAGGCCTGGCAGGAAAGGGAGGTAAGGAGAAACTGAGGAAGGGAGGTAAGTGTGCGCACCGTGTGCAGGTGTACATGTGCGTGCAGGGTCTCCCCTCATCCTTAGCTCTCTCCTCTTGTTCCCTCACCGACTCTAGGCCACAGCCACAGCCACGGGGTGCGCAGAGGGTGGACTGAAGGC